CTACACGCTTTTCTATCATTAAATAATTGTATTATACAAATGATAACTATTTTACCTTTCTGCTTCTTTAGAGCAATATTTGCAGAATGAGTCATAAAAAATGGGACAAGTACCTTAAGCTAATGCAGGACTTTATTAAGTATACATTTGTAGCCTGTCAATTTCATGAGCTATGTTAGCGTAAAGGCTAGCTTTGGAATGTTTCCTTAGAAACATAAAATCATAGGCTTTTCTTAAAAAGACTCGTAATAGTAATTAAATTTAATTTTAACTCGTAGTAGTAATTAAATCTGTTAATGAATGTTTTTTAACCACTTATTAATTGCCTGCTTTTGTGGGAAGACACAAACAAACTATTGGTGCTTTACTCAGAATGACAAACATAACAGTTACGTGTTTCGACTCTGTAATGTGTACTAAGGTTTAATCTATCAGATCACAAAACCATTTTTATTGTGCATCAGGAAACCATCTGAGACTTAAAATAAATCACATGATGTGTGGTACTCACATTCATGTTCTTAGGGAACAGAAAGGTTGGCTAAATCTTGGTCTTTGAAACCTCATCCAGAGTTGTAGTGAAAGATGTTTTTATTTACGTGCAAATTAGAGTCTATCTTTTTGCAGTTCTATCATCTAGAATTCCCATACGTCCAAGAATGGGCTGTGTAGAAGTGCTATATTTCCTTTTCCTAGCAAACTCAATGGGAGGAAAAGGGTATATCGAAAGTAAGGAATTTTTAAAAAATCCCTTAATTGAGATGTAAGCTATATACATAGCTTTCCTTGTGTGTGCATGTGCATACGTGCTCGAATCACATAGAAGTGAGATGTCACGTGTTGTTTCTAATTCTTCGAGTGTGGCATGCATCAGGAAGTACGATTTGTAGCACAATAAATATGGGGTGTATGTTGTTTAGGTATCCTAATAACATTATACATTGTGTTCTTATCTCAGGAACATAGGTGTAATTTCATACATGCTGCTGACACAGGAATCTCCATTTGTGGGAGCCGATAATCAAGAAACTTACCTTAATATATCTCAAGTTAATGTGGATTATTCAGAAGAAACATTTTCATCAGTTTCACAGCCTGCCAAAGACTTCGTTCAAAAACTTCTCATAAAAAATCCAGAGTAAGTAACAAACTCCTCTGGGCAAGAAGTTTCTTTTTTATGTTTGTGGAGCACCTAGAAAAAGTGAATGTTAATTCCACTGATGTGATCAGACAGACATTTCACAATGCATTGGTATTATCAGCTGGCTATTTAAAAGCGTAGGTTTATGCTTTCTGATAATGTACGAAAAGGATCTTTGGTTCACTGTCTGGCTATTATTGTAGTTAGGTTTGTGCTTTGAGTTTTATATTTTGAGTTTCTTTATATTTTTCATTCAGAGAACAGATTATTAACAAATCTGATTAAATATATTCTAGAAAGATCACATTTTTGTCTGTAATTTAATATTTTATCGCACAATTTGGAGACACAAAATGAAATCTTTTTGATGCAGTGCTTTCTTGTTTCCTCACTTACCTTTAGTGTACCTTTCTACTTTAATACATTTTGTATAAAAACTTGACAGTCTTGTGACTGAGCATATATTCTTCAGAAATATATAGTGTTTTGGCATGTGCAGTCTTTCAAAAAAATGTTCTCAATCAAAAATACAAACTTCTCTTTGTTTGTATGGCACATTTCCATAACTTCGCATTCTTTGGAAGTTCAGACTCTGATCAAGGCCTTTCAAAGCAGCTGAACTTTGAGAAGATAGTCTTTGAGAGTGGGAGAATTATAGACATTAACTGTGTCTGCACTTGCTGTATAGCCTTAAATCTAGATTTTTTTTAACTGTAGCACCAGCAAATGCAG